AGGGGAATCTAGCAATGCATTCCTTTGGTGACATTATATATATATTATTATATTATTTTTTTTATTCTGACGCCAGCCAACAGCTCTGTGTCAAAATAAAAAAAAAGAAAAAGCAGTGTTTCTCTCCTGGGCGGCCGGGAGCGGGAAACTCCCGGAGCGCCGGGAGAGTTGGGCTGTCTGGAGATCAGTGTCCCTGGTTAGCTGGTAACCAGGGACGCTGATCTCTCTGCAAGTGTCCGGAGCCAGCCATAAGATCACGGCTGGCTCCTCCCAGCTGTCAGAAGCATGCTGTCGGCTGGCCAATGGCCAGCCGCTCGGCCAGCTTCGGCTTTCACCTCGGCTCAGGCTGAGCCGCCCGGCCTACTTCGGGAGCTGTACGGGCTATACTGAATAGCCCCTACAGCAGCCATTTGGTTCTACTGAACCGAAAGGGTCCTGGGGCCTAAGCTAGCCGAAGGATCGGCCGAAGCTATGGCTAGATCCTTCGGCTGCTTCGTGAATAGACCCCAAAGTGTTTTACAAATTATTATTTTCTACTCTCATTTTAAATCATCATCTGTAAACTAATGTTTACAGACCCCAAATGCTGAAGCTAACATTTATATACAGAACTGAATAAGTCAGAGCAGTGGCTCCTCTCTGTCTCTACCTCTCCTTCCTGTGGTATACAGTCTGCTTTATAGCCCAAAAGCACAACAAACATATTAAATATTAAAACATCATCATTAACTTAAAAATAATGTAAGATTTTTACAAGGCCATTAGAGTTTGCTGGCATCATACTGTACGTGGCAATTTTCATGCAATTTGACCTACGTTCATCCAGTTTTTGGATGCATTTGGGCAAATGGATGAATGCCATGCATAGATATTAGTGTAAAGGCATGCAATAAGGATAGTTAAGAGGTCAAGGAAACGGTTAAACACGTTTTACCTTACACTGTACTGAAAACAACTCTGCTAGATTTTCATTTATTTTACATTATAAATAAGTCTTTTGCTGCAACATAGTGATGTAATGCTGCCAAAAAAATACTGAACTCTGGCTAGAAGATTTTACCACTGCAATCCATGAAAGATAGTAAGCGATTAGATATATCAGTCATGAAAGACAGTTCAGTTTTGGCTTCACTGACCTTTTACATTTTATTTGTGCAGACAAATGATTTGGTTGTTGTATGTCTTATAGTATCAGCAGGAATTCAGTGCATAGTTGAATGATCATAACAACACAGTCTGAATATATCATGTTGCACCTACCGCATGTTTTGGTAGATTCATCAGAGCCATCTGGACAGTTCGGTATCCCATCACAAAACAGGGATTGTTGTATACATGTAACAGTATCACCGCACAGCTTCTCATTGGGTGGACATGGGGCTGCGACACAAAAATAAAAATACACTTGACTTACAGAAGCTTTTTTACATAAGCATACAGTATATTAATATATAGTTATTATTATTAATACAATTCTTTAATAAAGTACGGGTTTGTTTACTTCAGTGGGTGTAGGCTAAATAATACCTGCCACTGTATACAGGGAGCCCCTACAATTTTCACCACCTGAGGCTGAGGGGTAGTACAGGTGGTGCACGTTATGGGGGGTGGGGCAGTGGGGGATGTTGGCTGTGCTTACCCGGGGGTTCACGTACCTCTGCCCGGCATCCCACCCAGCTCACTGACATCACTGGTTGCCAAGAGCTGGGCGGGACACCATCCATAGTGTCTTGCTCAGCTCCTAGCCAGCAACTACATCAGTGAGCTGGGCGGGATGCCGGCCAGAGTGACCCAAGTTGCTAAAAGCTCTTTGCAACTTGGGATGCTCTGGCTGAATAGAGGGCAGCAGGCACACCTGCCATCCCCTTCACATGACCCAATGAGATGCCACCTTAGGCAGCTACCTCAGGTTGCCTTATTATAGGGATGGCCCTCACTGTATAGCTCTGTGGTAGAACACTAGTACAGTACAATAGCTCTAACTGTCTCTTCCTGAAATCAGCTGCCTCTCACTAAATTCCAACACACACTGACAAAGGGCTGAGAGATTAGTTTTATAGTGAGAGGGCCACACACTGACAATGCACTTGACCATTGGCCAGAGTAATGCACTTGAACATTGGCCACAGTAATGCACTTGACCACATTTTAAAATGCACTGAAAGACATTATTTGGCATTCCTGATGAATGTCCTTAAATATTTGGAGTTCAGCTGAATGTCGAACTTAACATCGGTTTGAAACTTATCCTTATTGAGGAGTAATTCAGCTTTCTGAACTAGCCCTGACAAATGGAGTGCAAAAGGATAAAACATCACCAGCATCAGCTTGGCACTGAGATCTGCTAAACTGCAATCAAGAATATGAAGTGGGCAGGGTCGGGTTCCCTTCTCCACAGCACTTTTAAACTATGGGGTCTATTCACCGACCCGAAGCGAAGTGAGCCGAATGCTGTTCAGCTATTCACTTCAGGCTGGTACGGCCAGTGAAGTGAAATCAGCCATACATCGGGTGGCTTCAGGTCATGCTCAGCATGTTCGGCCGACCCGAAGTGCAGAAGGAGTTCGACTCAGCCGATCCAACATCTGGATCGGCTAAGCCGAAACCTTCGGCAGGCTACTCTTTGCTGTTTGGCCTATTCTCATAGATGTCGAACGGCAGTAAGTGAATAGCCAATTGCCGCAGAGCGGAATAGAAAAACAGTTAAAAAAGTAGTAAAAAATTTAAAACGATTGGCCGGAGCTACCAGTGACAGCTAGCTCCGTCCAACTGTTTTCTATTGGCTGGGCGGTTCAGCTGCCGTCAGAATAAAAAAAAAAAATCACCATAGCAATGCAGCGCTAGATTCCTATTGGCTATTTCACTTTGCAATAGCAAACTAGCTATTGCACCCGCCCTCTGCTGCTGTCAATCACTAGAGGGAACCTGATGGAGAACTTCAGGTCCCCTCTGCTGATTGACAGCAGCAGTGGGCGGGTGCAATAGCTAGTTTGCTATTGGCTATTGCAAATTGAAATAGTCAATGGGAATCTAGCTATGCATTACCTATGGTGATTTGTTTTTTCTTTTTATGCTGATGGCAGCCAACGGCTCCTATGTCAGAAGAAAAAAAAAAAAAAAACAGGGAAAGGTTTACTCTGCTCGATCGAGCAGAGTAAACCTTTCAGGGAGAAAGTGTTTATCTCCTGGGCGGCCGGGAGCCGCTATCTAATAGCGGGAGACTCCCGAAGCGCCTGGGAGAGTTGGGCTGTCTGGAGATCAGTGTACCTGGTTACCTGGTAACCAGGGGCGCTGATCTGTCTGTGCAAGTGGACGAAGCCAACCGCGAGATGACGGCTGGCTCCTCCCAGCAGTCAGTAGCAGGCTGTCAGCTGGCCACCTTCGGCTTTCACCCCGGCTCAGTCGAGCCAAAGCATTTGCCTTCCGCTCTGCTGAGCCGCACGGCCAACTTCGGGAGCAGTACGGGCTATAGTGAATAGCCCGTACAGCAGCCCTTCGGTTCTACTGAACCGAAGGGGTCCTGGGGCCGAAGCTAGCCGAAGGATCAGCCGAAGCTACGGCAAGATCCTTCGGCAGCTTAGTGAATAGACCCCTATGTTACAAATCTGAGCAAGCAATGTGTATTACACTGTTTATGACTTTTTATGACCCCTTGAAAACCCCTAATCTTTAATAACAAAATAAAAAGTGAACTTCTCTGCTGATGATAAGAGAAGTAAAGTGTTTAGTATAAAATGAGCACAATATCTATTGAAGATCTTGGAAATTATGCAATTATCTAAAGAAAATCTATTTTGAGCATCTGAAGAGTTTTTAAACAATGGTTCACTGACTGTTTGAAGTACTAAAGCAGCATAACAACAGCCTGGGATGAAAAGGGAGCAAACGCAACCCGTCTCCACTATTTATGTAATCTTCAACAGCATAATGATTATATTGAATCAAACAAAGCATACAATTATATTAAGGATATGCTTCATTTTCAGCCATTACAGAAACAGAGTTTGGGTATTTGTTCAATTACCAAATGATTACCTGGAGAACCACAATTCTGAAAAAAGCACTTCAAATGAAAAAAAAAACAACAAAAACACATGAGACACTAAATTATTTTTCTTTGTAATTTATTTCATCTGATGATAATGATGCTTTTGTGTTTGCATGGCTTTTATGATGGTGTTTACTTATTTTTACTAAGCTTTTATTTTTATTGCATAATAAAAATGTCCATCTATCATTAGACACACACACAACACAGTGACCCTGATTTACAGAAAGAAGTAGAGCATGTTTGATTTAAAGGTTTTTGAATGTTTTACTTTGCAGATAATATCCAATCATGTGAAGAAAAAAAAAAAATAAACTTTGCGTATACATGAAAGGATGATTAGTCAGCACAATGTTACCCCATTTACTAGACTGGGCAAATTTTATTTTTGCTAATTTTCTACTAGCTTATTGAATTAGGTTTAATTGTGCTGACTTTTATATTTTTTATGCACATGATTGGTTATTCCTTGCAAATAGAATTTTCACTTCATTTCACTTCATTTACTAAGATCAGTAAAAATTGACTTGCTCTACTCCAACTCTATGAACATGCTCTACTCATGCTCTACTCCTTTAGTAAAGCAATCCCAGTATTTCTATGAATTGATACTTATGCATACCATCCACAGCGTCTAAACTTGCTAGGATGCTAGAGACTGGGCCTCACAGTGTCATTGGTTGAAAGGGTGCAACATAGCAACCAGTGACACTATGGGGCTGCCTATTTTCTAGAAATCATTGATGCTGTGTGACCCACACACACATTTGTTTTTTTTCCGTTCCACAAACTGCGATCTGTCAGAGTATACTGGGCAGTGTGATCAAACCTGGTGCCTATTGGAATGCATAGTGGTATTTAGTCACCCTGCATAACTGATATAACAGGAAAGTGAAGTACAATGTCTGTCTAGCTGAACATCTGTGTCTGTGGCTTCAATTGGGCTTCAAGCAGACAACATACAAAATCAATCATGAGCTGAACTGTAGACAAAGTTCTCATTTGGGTACAGAAGCGCATTTACTAATGTACTCCTGTGACCCAAACTCAGAACATAGCGGGCTACTGCTCGCTATATGCTGACAGTGCAGAGCCATGCTGCAGCCAGGAATGATCCCCACAGCACATCACAGCCTGATTGACAGCTGGCTCTGTCTCTCTAGAAGCAGAGCAAGGTGTGCTCACCCCCTCTGTCTGTCCCTCCAATGAGCGCTGAAGAAACAGAGATGAGGAAAGGGGGAAATCTCTTCAGATAGCAGCAACTGACAGTTACTACTCTCTGCAGGGAGAAGCCGTGATTTGAGCGATCAGTGGTTTGTGATCACTCAGTTCTTGAGCTAAAGAGCCAGTGTGTGACACCTGCAGTGTCACATGGCAGCTCAACTATTGGGAAGGGTTCATTTTACTATCCCAATAGTTCTACTTTCAAGTATTATTAAACTGTCAAATTTAATCCAGATCAAATAAATATACATTGTCTAGCAAAGTATTACTTTGCATTTTTTCCAGAGCACAGTTACAGTTATAATGTTTCCAAAGATCTGGCTCCAATTCTCTCAGTTCAGCTTCCCTGAACTTCCCGTCGAGTACAAGATCACAAGGGGCAGCACAGTCTGCAGTAGCTATCTATCTACTAGTTTGGAGAAGGAAGAAAGGAGAAGGAAAAGCAGGGAGATAGAAAATGGCTTCCTTTGCCGTGCCTGTGCGTTTGTGGAGAAACGCATAGCTTACAAGCACACAAGAGGGTGGCTCCATAGGACACTGCAAAGAAAAGGAGCCTCCCTAAAACAGGATATCAGGGCCACTGCTCAGGGGACCAGCAGATTCTGCAGAAATGTAAAATGTTTAAACATCAAGGAGCAGCATCCATAGGAACTATTTTAATTAGCATTTAAAACAGCTTAAAAACTTTAATATCACTGTAAAGTAAGGAGTTGGCTTTATGGGTTTTATATAATCCACTGCAGCCAGATTCAACAAGGCTTTTCACAGTGCTTTTCTTGATAGATTTTGATCGGTTATTCCGTGGCATGTACAGGGCTAGATTTTTTATCACTGCAGCCTGTAGGCAGCCATTATTCTTCTCCATTCCCACACCAGTTCCCATGATTTTGGGCAAGCTCTCTATGTTCTCACATCAAAGACCACTGCTTCTGCATTGTACCTGATGACTGTGAGGTGAAGAGAATCATCTTCATGGGTCACCTGAAGGGGAAAAAACGCCTCAGAGTGCAAGAAAAAAGGTAAATAATTCTGCCTACTCTATGCCCCCTAGACTAAATGGGCATTAGAACCTTAATATGTGTTAAAGGAGAACTATGAGGTGAGTGCT